TCTGGAATCAAAAGTAAATGTCTGTTCATTTGCTTATTGTTTCAATCTACACAGCTTAGACTAACCTGTGAAGATTGAATAAATTCAGTGTTGGACTTTTTGACTATCTGTACTTAGAGGTGACAAACTCTTTATACAGCATCCGTGGACTGAAAGGATTCACACGTGAGCTTTATGCCTATCACTCCTCTTCCTCCCAGCCTGTGCTATGCACACTTCCAAGATCTGGCATATTAAGCCAACTAAGTAGATGTCAACTTTTAACACTGAATATTTGCTTATTTCAGGGGAGTAAGAAGGGCTGCATTTCAGATCACCTGATTGACAAACTGCTTCAGCCTGATCTCCAAAGCAGCCTTATAGCATCTTCAAATTATGTCAGGTGACTCAGATTATGAAAAATAACTTCAATTTCTAGAGGCAGTGAGTTCCATATCCAGATTCTACACATGTGGTCAGTTTTGGATGACAGTCCTCCCCTGTTTGTGATAGCTTTATTTGTCCAGCATACCAAAGTCCCTTACTGAGGTCACCATAGCTGAGGGGCAGACAATCTCTCAACAGCTACCTAGGAATCAAATTGTTGTCTGACCTTAGTGCTCTTTATCATTTTCTTTCCCCGTACTTCATTATAACAGAAAAGAATTTACAATCTCCGATTTAAAAAAATTAAGTACTCACAGTGCAAGTTACTAACAAGGTTTACTAAACATCTATTGTTGTTTCCTAATCCAATTCTAGCCCTTTCATGATTTCTCTTTTGTATGTTCTCCCATCCATTTTTTGCCTATCTTGTATTATAAGTTGCTAGACCATAACTTTAATCTTGCTTGAAAAATACTTTCCATTGCTATACCTCTGTAATAAATTATAGTAAAGATTTACTGCAGCTAAAACAGTATTAATAACAACCAAGATTTATATGGCCCTTTTCTTCTAAATTAATCTCAAAACATCTCCCATTCAAGAAATGACCTGCTATAACCATACTTTGCTGTGAGATGAAGGTGGTATGGCTACAGATGGACTATTAGAAGGCAAGATGTTGAAAACTAATACAAAGCATCAACAAAGAACTTTTACAACTGTTCACTGAGGTGGATTTGCATTTGCAAATCCATGGAGAAAAAATGATATCAGTAAAAAGACAATTCTATTTTTGTGTCCCCCTTTTCTCCTTCTGTAACAGTAAAGGGAAAATAAGAGACTAAAATCCAATTAAATACTAAATATTATGTTACAGTATAATAAGGAATCCGAGTTAAACAAAAAATGACAATGAATGGTAATTCTCAGCCACAATGTACTTAACTTGCTGTGTTGTACAGAAGCGTGGCAGCACATATGGCTTGTAAAATCACCTACTGTTCTGCATCCCTTGCAATACCTACGCACTCTGAAGTGACAGTCTTAATTCAGAATTTTATTTGGTTTGGAAGTTTAAGGTTATCATAAAATAATTACTTCTACATAATACACTATGTCAGACTGTATAACTAAGTCATTAAAAAAGGAAATGACTCTGTAGTGCCATATACAGGACTAGCGCTGGTAATGCAGAATGCAACAGGGGAGCATATACCTAGAATCAGCCTCAACACAGACTTTGAGAAAAAGATGGGGTCAGTTAATTCCCTATTCTGATAGATGCCTATACTACAGATTCCTTCTCCTCTCTCCAGTGTTTGATAAATGAAAGCTGATTAGAGCAATTCTTGGATCAGGAAGAACAAACAGAACTCAGATCAAAAGATGATATGTATTTTACCCAGGTAGCAGAAAACTGGTAAGACAGAAAGATCCCTGGCACTGTAAGTCAGCATGGGATTTTTTGCAGAGTTTTGGGTACCCACATTTAGGAAGGAAAAGACAGACAACAACTCCTTTTTAGTAAGAAAAGTGGTGGAAATAGTTTTTCTTGTCCCGTCCTAGTAACAGAGGAAAGAAAGGGCTTAAGCAATGCAGATAGGAGAGCATTTGAGGGAGAGAGGAGAGAGGTGTAGAGTAGAAAGAGTAGGGGGCTAAGAATGAAAGAGGGGCAATGCCTATGTACTGCCTATGGAAGATATTTTTTGCCTTTGCAAACTCATCGTGAAAAAGTCTTGTTGAACCTGAAGTCCACCCCTAATCTTATCAATAATTAGCAGACATAGGCATTGGTTCCAGATATCTAATAAAGAAACAGCATCAGTAATCTATACAGACTTTGTTCTCATTGACAAAGAAGAAAAAGCAGTTCTTACGTGCAGTGTGAAGTCACTTTAAGTATATACTATGTACAATGGTGTACTTCACACTATTCAAGTTTTGTTTCCATATCAACCAAACTATCTTCTGTGTTCTCTGTGGCATCAGAATGTATCGATTGCTTTAATGTACCTTCATTTCTTGCTTAAATGTATCTGTTTGGTACAGCATTTTCTCTCTTTTGAGGGGACTGCAGCTGTTCCTGTCGACTCTTTTGGACAAATGTTTATTATTACATCATTGCCTACTACTGCAGGGGACTAGGCTTGATTACCTGGGAGGTCCCTTCTAGTCCTAAGTTCCCATGTTGTACTCCTTCCATTAATAACTTTGTCAAAAAGAAAATAAACATAATGGAATTTACCCCAGTGAAATGCTAGATGCTGCTACTGTCACATGGTTCTGTTCTAAGTTCAAATATATTATATCATTTTTTACTTATCACAGTATTCATTTAAAATAAGGAAACTTTTACAAATCAAAATCACATTCATGGTTGCCAAAGGTCCAAATGAAAAATACATTTGGGACATACACACATGCACACACATGCATGCACACATACACACGTACGTGCACATACACACACACACAGGGTCAAAATAAGGAGGGAAAAATCACCTTAGTTATTTTGCTTTCACAATTTCTAAATATTTTCCCAATGTCTTGGCAAAATTATGCATTTTAAAAAGACTGCAGGCATTCAAATGATTGTCAGTCATGCAAATAATCACTTACTTACACTGTATGAGTTTGGTTTGGATAAAGCAAATTACCATTTGGAAATAACTCGAAAAACACTCTGGGCTAAGAGCTTGCTTTATAAATCTTAGCTTGGCCACGATATTTCTTAACCTTTTTCTCCTCGATCTCCATTCAGCTGAATTGCACTGTAGTAACACAGTTTATATTAATAAATTGCATTCAGGGCCACAGATGCATTCAACATTATCTGAAACATGTTTTTGTAAAGAAATGGTAAATGTTGGGCACAAGTGAACTTTATTCAAAGTTATGAAAAACTTCTTTTTTTAAAATCTACTATGTCTTTTGTGATGATATTGAATTTTATCTATGGAAAATCATTATTATTGATTTCTAAAGAGCATTTAAAGGCACTTAAAATAGATATTAGCATTAACATAAGAATAGGAAGTTTTTTTGAATGATGTGTCATTAATTGGCTCACTGACAAACTGAATCGTGCATGTGTTTGTATGTCCTAACTACATGAATAGTTATGATGATGTATCAAAATGCAGTTATATTGAAATTATTGCATCTACATGTCTAACTTTAGGCACCAGTAGTTGGATTTTTAAATGTCTAAAAGAATGGGAGGCACAAGTCCTTTGCGAGTCCTGACTATAGTAAGTACTACTGGTGCTGGTACTGAGCAGACCCACAGCTCTCACTAGTTCCAACAGCATTCTTGAAAATCATACCATTGAGATGTTTGCCTCTCATCCTCAAAGGTATTTAGGCACCTAACTCAAATTCAAATGCCTAATTGCCCCTAAAAGCAAAGGTGTAAAGTGCCTAATTAGGCATTAGCCACATAAATACTTCTGAGGTTTTAGGTCAAAGTGTCTAAATATGTATTCAAAAGGCATAACCTTAGACATTTATGTTCATGAGATTTGAAGTAGTTGAATCCTGTTACATTTTCTAAGCAACTTAAATGCAAGCATTAAATCTATACACGACAATAAAATTTGTGACCCCAGAGTTAAATGACTCTTCTTTATGTTAACCTTCTACAAAGAGACACTTAAAGACTTTGAAATGATGCACACAGTGCAATCTGGTCAGCAGTGAGGGTTTAAGGTATGAGTATTTAAATAGAATGAACCTTGCCATCAGTTAAAAATCCAGACTTCAGTACAGCCATTTAAGTTCATTAATTTGTTTGCTATATAGTTCTTTCACGAAATGCACTGAACTTCATATCACTTTTAAAATTATAATCAGATTGCAAAACTCTACTATTTGTATTTAGTGCTGGTCCCACTGAAGAGGAGGAGACAAGGAGAAATTTCTGTGCTAGGAAAAACAATTGTCAGGTTTAATCAAAAGTGAAAAGGATCTACAGAATGTTCCCTTTGAGCCACATAACCCATTGCTAATTTCAGGATGGGCTCCACAGCAAGGGTAATAAAAAATGTCCTTCATAGTTACTAAGGAAGAGACAAGAGCAACTACAACTCCAGCAAATGCCAAAATATTCAAGTCTGCTTCATGTTACTGAAATTATTTTTGCCTATCTGTAAGCCGTAAAAAAACAGAGCTGGTGGAAAAATCCTACATCGTTATACCTAGGGAAATATAATTTGTCAACCATAGCTTAATGACTTTTACTAATCTCTGAAATTTCTTGTTCCCGCTTCCCCTCTTCATATAAAGAATATAGGGCTGATAAAGCACGTGCAAAGATATTTTTTAATAAACAAACAATGGGACATTATCATGAGTGAGCTACGTAGTTACCAAGTTGCACTGACCACCAACTTGGCAACTAGGCAGGGCAAAGTTTTAATTGATTTCAATGGTTGAGAATCAGGCCCCACCTTTGTAGTTTTGTATTACTGAAATACTTTTATAAAATAATGGAGGGTGCAGATCAATAACATCTAACAAATTACATAATAACAACTCTTAAAACGATCTGTTAAAACTTAGCAGTAAGCAAGCACCTTGGATGCATTTGAGACAATTTATGACACAACATGGAGAATGGAGTCAAATGTACTGACCTGCTCACATCAGGGAACCTGATTGGAAAGTAAAGAACTCGGCACTTCGGTCTGATTATTTTTTCCAGATCCTTTGGTCTGTGGTCAGGAATCAGCTTCATAAATTTTCCAATAGATGTAAGAAATGACTCCATATTAAAAGCAGAGTTGAACACTACAATATCAGCAACCAAACTGGAAAAAAGTAGAGAAAATTAATGCAATGTTCTGAAAGAAAACCCAGGATTATTTTCAAATTGACTAAAATAGGATAAATATATTGTGACAGTAACTGATAAATCAAGCAATGTATATTTATTTTTATTTGATATCAGCTGACTCAGGTATGGTGGAGAGTCTGCTTTTATTCTGAATATCTTGATTGCCGTCCAAATGACTTATCTTCTAAACATTATTTAACAGTTTTTATTAAAACTTTAAAAAATAAAAGAATTACAAATATTTAATATTATTAAACTGAAAGATCATAACAGTTCTGATCTCTTATAGTTTCATAGTTGGTAGGGTCGGAAGGGACCTAAGCAGATCATCGAGTCCAACCCCCTGCCATGGCAGGAAAGAGTACAGGGGTCAAACGACCCCAGCAAGGTGTACATTTAGCCTCCTCTTAAAGACCCCCAGGG